AATTAAAAGAGTTTGCTGCAAAACAGTGCCAAGTATAATGGAGGAGGCACTCCTCTGCCTCATATAACCAGTTGGAATAATCTACAAAAGACTCCACAAGCTTGATAGAGTTACATGGGTATCTGAGCTTTCTGTAACAAAACTGTGCTAATAAAAAAAATCCTTAACTATCTTATGGTCATTTGTAAACACAGGTCTACAGTGCAACAAGCCTTGTACCACTAACCAAGCCATCATAACTACTGCCATTTTAATTTTAGAGCAACAGTAGATTTTAATCAGACATTTAACCAATTTTGCTTCCCACTCTATTTGGACACATTGCCAAGCAAATCAGGGGACCGAATAAAAACATTAGAAAATAATTTTATTAATAAACTGTAATAATACATTACCTTAATCAAGTGTTAAAAATTACAAATACACTACTTTGGTACATCCTTTAAAGGTACCAAACCTGGGGTTAAATGAGTCTCAGACTGCCTTATGAAAGTTCTAGACATATCACCTTCTCAAGGCATCTCATGGTTTCATCAATATCTACGTTATTTTTCAGAAACTTATAGGGAGCAGGCACTCCAGTTAAGCTCAAATATCAAATCTTACCTTCTGATTTTTCAGTGTCTTTCTCCATCCCACAAACTTCTTTTTTAAGGTTCTGGTGCTCAGGATCATGCTTCTGGAAGGGGAAGAGAAAATAAATGGGACCAATGGAGGCAAAGAAAACATTTAAATGTGATATCACGTTTTCTTCAACAGTAAAATAGGTTTTAAAATAAACTAATTCACCAACTTAGTGTCCAGGGCTTACTCAAGTAAAGATACATATCCACTAGCTCTCCCAAAAATACAGTTCCAATCTCAGAATTGCTCTATGAATGAACAGATATTTAAAGCACTACACATAATTCTGTATTTGGATGGAGGAAGGTTCCAGGTAAGACAAGTAAGATGAGTGTGTGGATACATTTTTCAAAAGCATTTGAGTGATTTAGGAGCCTAGAGTTCCATCTTCAAAAGTGACTTAGGAGCTTATAAAAATATTGCCTTACATTTTAATACATGAAATGGTTTATAAAAAAGTTTGTGGACAAAAGGTCTCACCTTTTCTGTACAATTCTCTGAATTACAGATGTATAGGTCCTTCTGCTGCTTTTTCCCCTCCTTTTTGCGTTCATATGCTCGGATTCTGGCACAAGTCATCATCCTCTCAAAGTACAAGTAAACGGGATCCTTGTCTTCCTCCCGAATCTGAAACCCAAACAGAACCACTTCATTCAAGATATATATCACAGCCGTGAAAAAGCAAACCTGGACTATTACATAGATTTTGACAGGCACATGTCTTGGGTTATTTCAAGAGAGCATTCTTCATAAAGACAGCAAGTATCCATAGCACCATGTGCAACTGATTATAGCTCTAAGATGCTCAGCCAAGCGCAGCAAAAAAAAAAAAAAAAAAATCTAGGTACAAAGACAACTATTCTGATTAACCTGGTAGATGATAAACAAGAGATTCTGCTTTGAGGCAACCTGTTGAATTCTGGTCACATCTCTAGCTACTTCTCTACCAGTGTCCCTGTGGAAGGT